ACATAAAAGAAAGCCTTGTAAACCCCGTACCTTAAAGTCACATTATATTCATCTTCAAGACAATATTGAGATAAGAGTTAATTTTTAGGGAAAACCTCCTATTCCTAATCATCATTTGACCATATTAGGTCACTTCTGGATTTCTGTATATTTATATTTAGCGTTTAATTTGTTTATTTTTGGGGCTAACTCTTTAGAGCTAATTTGTTTATCTTTTTGTTAATATTTTAAATTTAGGGTTAATTTGTTTATAAAATCTGTTAATTTGGTGTGAAATGCTTCAGTCATTTGCACCATAGAAAAAGAATGTCGATGTCACGAACGAAGATGTAATTAAATGTTTCTAAAAGATGAATAGTCGTAGAGAACAATTATAGGCAGTAACTTATTTATCATTCGTTGTCACAACAAGGAATCAAACATATTTTCAGTTAACATATCTTTGAATTTGGTTTGGACTATGGATCTAAACATACTTGATGTATCAATGTTAAATGATCCGGTACACCTTGTTTGATGGGTTTTTTCCTTATATTAGTGTTCGACAATTAATTATCAACTTGGGTGATTTCTGAGAAAAATGACCTTACGTGTATCAATTTTTGTCTCATCCATCAAATAATAAATTTATCTAACGGAAAAGTCTCTCGAAATGGACTTGGCGAAAGCGGAGTAGCACAAGGGATCCAAACTGTTCTAAATCGTGGTGTATTTCTTCTATTCCTTAAATCATTTTACACGTTTTGAATTGCATTATGTATTTTTAATTTCGTAGTTATGCTTTTGAAAGGAAAAGCCGTCAAGAATCCTGATCTTTTTAGAACTTATTCACCTTCACAATCTTACCATAAGCCATTTTTTGATGTTGATGCCAAATCATTCTAGGATTCTTCCTCAATAAAATCTAAAAACAGGAGTCAAATTTTCTTTAGCTCGACAAGTAATCCAACCTAGTTTTTTAAAAGATCAGTTCATGAGGCTTCATCATGCCTTCAATCCTTTAGGCAACTTTTGTCTCTTGAAAGTAGGCAAGTGTTATAGTCCCTAATCTCTAATTTAGACTAGTATAAGGTGCAGAGTAGGATGAGGCCTTGAAGGACCATACGAGTCTTACATTCTATTTAAGTTGTCAACAGTCTTGATCTTCAGTAGAATCTGAATCCGTATGTAATTATGATCATCTAACGAGGTATGCCACCGCATAAGAAAGAAACTACAAAATCCAATCCAATTTATCAAAAAACAAAAAGAAAATCTTGCAAGATTTTTATTGAAATCATATAACTAATCATCTAATGACTTATTTCTAGTTTGGACATGTGAAATAAAGGGATTTATACGTGCATTTCATTTATGGTGAATTTACTATTTTATTCCTAGGATTTTATGTGATAACCAGATCCTGGTTATTACTCAAGGTATTTAATACGTGATTATCTGATTTAAATGATTACGTAATAGCATGATAAATTGATACACGCTGGTATGAGAATTTGTGAATTAATTGAATATATATATATATATATATATATATATGTATGTACATGGGTGCATGTGGGTATGCATGTGTGTGTGTGTGTGTGCATACATGATATATGTATAAGTGGTTTGCATGCATACACGTGGCTATGTAAGATAGCCGACCTTTCCTTTTTGGGAAAGTATAAAAAGAGGTTTAAACCTCTTCATTTGGTTTCCTGCCATTTTTGAGAATTGAGAGGGAGTTAGAGAAAGAGTTGTCCGGTTTATCAAGAGAGGGTATTTTCAAGTGATTTCAAGTGCAAAGTTTCAAAAGGGATCGATTGCAAGCATTTGGTTTCAAAAAGCTTTTAAAAGGTGAGTGGTTTCTAAATCTTTTGCATAAAATTTACTACTGATTTTATTAGTATGCTTCGTATTCTTATCCTTTGAAATGAAACTTTGATTATATTGTCCAAGTGTTTATCCAGACAAAGCTTGACCAGATAAGGGTATAAACCGGACAAGCCTTAGGCGGTTTAGTATCTGGATTGTCTTAAACCGGACAAGCCTTAGGCGGTTTAGTGTCCGGATTGTCTTAAACCGGACAAGCCTTAGGCGGTTTAGTGTCCGGATTGTCTTAAACCGGACATGCCTTGAAAGGTTTGTTGACCGGAGTTGGTAAACCGGTTGAATGGTGAGCGGTTTAGTCTTAAACCGGACGAGTCTTGAACGAACTGTTGACCGGATTTGTTATCCGCTCAATATGAATATTGTTCTAAGTGTTAAACCGTTCAAAGAAGATTTAGTGTGTTGACCGGATTAGATGTTCGGACAAAATGGACTTTAGTCCAAGTATTGTAAACCGGATGGTTGTTGACCGGATTAGTTGACCGGACTTGTAAACCGGGTGATTAGTGATCGGACTTGTTGTCCGGATAGCTTTATATTGAGAAATTTTATAAGTTTTTAAATATTTATTCATTTACATATGATT